CAGTGGCCGGCCCCGTGGCTGAGTGGTTGACTTGGCACGCTCCGCTTCGGCGGCCCAGGCTTTCGCCGGTTCACATCCTGGGCGCAGACATGCCACTGCTCATCAGGCCATGCTGAGGCAGCGTCCCACATACCAGAGCTAGAGGGACCCACAACTAAAAATATGCAACTATGTACTCGGGGGACTTGGGGAGAAAAAGCAGAAGAAAAAAAAAGATTGGGAACAGTTGTTAGCTCAGGTGCCAATCTAAAAAAAAAAAAAAACCCACAAAATAAAAAACCACTCTCAGCAAACCAAGAAGGAAGAGAATTTACATGACCTCGTACTGGGCAAATACTGAAAAACTAGAGCTAATATCACACTTGGGGATGAAAGACTAAGTGAACACTTACCCCTAAGATCAGTAACAAGACAAGGATGTCTGCTCTCATCGTTTTTATTCAACATTTTAGTGACATCTTAGCCAGTGGAATAAGGCAAGAAAAAGGCATACAAACTGAAAAGTAGTAAAAGTGTCTTTATTCATAGGTGACATGTCCATCTTAGATAGGACATGATCATGCACAATGAAAACTCCAAGGATGCTACAAAAAAGCTACTAGAGCTTAGAAGTGAATTTCGCAAGGTCACAGGATACAAAGTTAATATTAAAGAATCAATTGTATTTTCAAATATTGGCAAGAGATGGAAACTGAAGTTTTAAAAAAATGCCATTTACGATACCATCAAAAAACCCAAAACTCTTACGGATAAATACAACAAAATCTGTGCGGGGCCAGCTCCACGGCCAAGTGGTTAAGTTCACGTGCTCCACTTCGGCGGGCCAGGGTTTCGCCAGTTTAGATCCTGGGTCCAGACATGGCACCGCTCATCAGGCCACGCTGAGGTGGCATCCCACATGCCACAACTAGAAGGACCCACAACTAAAAATACGCAACTATGTACCGGGGGGCTTTGGGGATAAAAAAGAAAAAAAAGAAAAAAAATGTGCAAGAGAGGCACACTAAAAACTGCAAAACATTGCTAGGAGAAATTAAAGAAGACCTAAGGAAATGGTCTTCTTTTATGAAAACCAAGTTCATGAGTAAGAAGGCTTAATATTGCCGAAATTTCAATTCCCCGGTAATAACCTATAGATTCAATGCAGTTCCAAATAAAAATCCCAGCAGCCTTTATGCAAAAAAATAGCAAGTTGGTTCTAAAATCTATGAGGCAATACGAAGGACTGAAGCCAAGTTTAAAAAAAAAGGTAAACAATTTTGAAAATGAAAAACAAAATTGGAAAACTTCTACCAACTACCTGATTTCAAAACTTACTACAAGGCTATAGTAATGGAGACAGCGTGGCGCTGGCATGAAGGTAGACGTACAGATCAGTGGAACAGGGTAGAGAGTCCAGAAATAAACCCACACATATATAGTCAATTGATTTATACAAGGGTGCCAAGGAAATTCAATGGGGAAAAGATCGTCTCTTCAACATACGGTGCCGGGACTACTGGATATCCGCATGGAAAGAAATGAATTTTGATCCTTGTCTGATAACAATATACAAAAATTAACTTGAAATGGATCCTAAACCTAAACATAAAAGCTAAAACTGTTTGTCACCTTGGCAGATTCCTTAGGACACAAAAAAGCATAAACCATAAAAGAAAACATTAATTGAACTTCATTGAAATTAAAACCTTCTCGTCTTTTTAAAAGCACCCTTAAGAAAAGGAAAAGAAAAGCCAAAAACAGTATATTTAACAAAGAGCTTTTATGCAGAACATGTAAAGAACACATAGCTCAAAAGTCAGAAGACAACTTCATTAACAAGTAGGCAAAAGATCTGAGCAGATATTTCACAGAAGATACATGAATGGCCAATGGGCACGTGAAACGATGTTCAATATCCTTAGTTATAAGGGAAATGCTAATTAAAGTCATAATGAGATGTCACTAGACACCTATTGGAATGACCAAAATTTAACAGACTGACAATATTCAATGTTGGACTCATTTTAAGTAATAGGTTCATAAAGTAGAAATCTATGTGACTGCAAAGATTTGTTATTAGTTCAAGTCCGTGAACTCTGCTAGGATAATCCTTAGTTCAAAGGAAGAGAATGAGTTTATCTAAAGTTCTGATTTTTTGGAATTTTTAAAATCAAATTTATTAAAGTATAATTTACATACAGTAAAATGCACTCGTTTTAAGTGAAGTGGTCACTCTAACCACTGTCAACATCGAAAGCTACAACATTCCCATCACCCCTGGAAGTCCCCCTTCCCCAATCTCCCTCACTCCTCATTCACAGCCCCTCATTCACAGGCACACTGAGCAAATTTCTCATGATGGGGATTAGATTTACCTTTTTCTGGAGTTTCATATAAATGGGGTCATTCAATACATATTGTTTCTTGCCTGGCACCTTTGGCTCATCACCATATTTTTCAGATTAGCCATGTTGCAGTCATCAGACATTTATTCCTTTTGATTGCTTAGTAATATTCCTCAATTGGTTTTTTGTAAAGCATTACCTGCTTCCTCATTATCTGCTAATAACTTCTGAAAAAGTGATGAACGAGAGCTTCTCAGCTCTTGAATAATTGAACCAGCGAGGAGAGTACTCATCTATGCAGTTAACCAGACTGGAAACCTGGGGATTATTTTTGGCTCCTCCGTCTATTTCTTTTTCAAATCCGATAACCACCGAGTCAGGTCAATTTTAGTCTCCTGATATCTCTCAGATCAATCTGTTCAGTGCTGTTTTAAGCAAGTCTTCATCGTTTCTCACCTACTTCACTGTAGAAACCTTCTGTTCTTTAGTTTTGCTCTTCACCAATCCATTCCCCATCTTTAAACCAGAATGAGTTTAACTGCTCTAGGTGCCTCGTATAAGTGGAATCGGACAATATTTGTCCTTTTGTGTCTGACTTATTTCACTTAGCATGTTTTCAAGGTTCATCCATGTCCTAGTATGTGTTAGAATTTCATTCCTTTTCGTAGCTGAATGATATTCCATTGAATGGATGGACCACATTTTGTTGATCCAGGTGTCTGTTGACGGACACTTTGATGGTTTCCAGTCTTGGCTATGGTGAATAATGCTCTGAACATTAGTGTACAAGCATCTGTTTGAGTCCTTGCCTTCAGCTCTTTTGAGTGTACGCCTAGGAATGGAGCTGCTGGGTCACATGGTAATTCTGTGTTGGACTTTTTGAGGAATTGCCAGCTGTTTTCCACAGCAGCTGAACCATTTTACATTCCCACAAGCAACACACCAGGGTTCCAACTTCTCCAAAATCCCTGCTATGGTGAACAACAACTTTGGGCAACTTAAGCTCTCTGTGCCTCACTTTCCTCACCTCTAAGATGCAGGTAACGATAATATCATCATCCTCAGAGTGGTTGTGAAGGTTGAATGAGCAAACCTTTGGAAATGACTTAGAAAGGGCCTGGCACACGTGAATGCTGTTAGAATAAGTGCCACCTGGTGTCATCATTGTCATCACCATTACTGGAGATCGATAGATCTGAAATCGCAAACCTCCCAATCCACAGCCCGCAGCTGGGTCTCGCTCGGCTCTGTAGTGGCTGTGGGCCCATGGGCCTGAAACTGGGCCGGAGTGGGACGAGGCCCTGGAGATGTGCACAGCCAGCAGACGGGAGGTGTGGGCGTCGTGGAAGGGCCACGTAGTGCAAAGGAGCAGCAGCGCATGCCTTTGCTGTGCAGAACAGGAAGGGGAGCGCACAGAGGCTGAGTGAGTCCTCGGCGCACACATCCTGGGGTGACTCGGGGAGGTCTCCCACTCCTGGCCTTCCCTTCGCACGTGCTTCAGGAAGCACAGGCAGCAGCAGGCGCATTGCCCCTTGATGTGGGCCGTGCCGGCACAGAGCCTGGTGGAAGCACTGTACCGGTGAGAGCGAGCCCGTGATGGTGCCGCGGCTGTCCCTGAGCACGACCTGAGCGCGGGTTCACACACCTGATTTTCCTCAGGATTGTTTTTAGAGATTTGGTGACTGTGGTCCCAGGATATGCATATTCTCTCAAGATCCCTCAAACAAGAGACTGGCCCAGTGTGAATGCTCTGCATTGCCTGTGCTTTCACCTGATTGTCACTGCTGTTCCCATAGGTTTGTTCAAAGTGAAGATTTGTGGCCTGTTCATATGCTCTAGAAAGCCCTCAAACGGTAAACTTCCAAGTCCGTAGCAGTACAGATTTCCCCTTTTTTTAAATCGGCATTTAAAAGGCAAAAACCCGTGTGTTGTGTTGTAGGGGTCTGACGGGTGCTTCTGCAGCTCTCAGTTCCTAAAGTGTCTGCTGTCCTTTCCAGCTCTGCCCGGGCCGCGGGCAGCATAGGTCCACCCTTCTGGGCGGGAGGTAGGACGTCTGCCATGAAGGGCTCTGCTCTTGCCCTTGTGGGAGCTGGCGGGTGACTTCCTCGTTCTTTCCTATTATTATTGTTTGTTAAGTTTGAATGGTACTGTGGCTGGGTGTTAAGTTGTTTTTCTAAAACCTTCTTTTTAATTATTAAAGGTTTATTACACCATTTGAAAAAACGATAAAAGAACATGTCACTCATACCATCCTAGCATAATAGCTGCTTTCCTTTCTTCAGGCTTTCTTCTAGTCTTTTCCCTTGTCAATTCATATTTTACATTGTTGTGATCATCATATATGGGCAGTTTAGGTTCTTTCTGCTCAGCTTTGCTCATAAGTATCTTTTTCATGTCACATTATTTATTTTTACTAGCTGCATGAAATCTGTCAGGTTAATATATCATAGTTTATTTAGACATTTCTTCTTTAATTGGTATTTCATTTTCCCCAATTTTTCACTATCATGAATTTTATTTTATTTAGCTATTCTTGGTTTTATGCAGTTTGTAAAAAATATAGGTTTAGGTTTAAATTGTTAAAACGATAATTAAAATGAGCCCCAGACTTATCACTTTTAAATAACTGAAATCTACTGACAGTTATTTTACGTAATGAAAATTGTTTTTCAGAATTTATCTTCGGAAGTTTTCCAAGTGGGTCCTGCCGCAGTGTGTTAGATTGGGTGTTGCCATCCTCCTTCACCCTCTTATGTCAGACTTCTGGAGAGAGCCACCAGCAAGGACTGCTCTGGCAGCAGCATTGAAACAAGTCCCTCTGGGATGGACTCCGTGCGGCTGGTCAAGCACAGGTGCCTGGCTGAACTATCCTGGTGTGGGACATACAAGGTCAAGTCAATGGGATGGGGTTACTACTGCACATACCCTGCTGCCCTCGGTGACCGGAACCTGGACAAAATATATGTATCAACTATTTCCAAACGTTGAACAATAGGCAGCACAGAGCTGTGATGCCTGAGAAAAAGGGAACAGGAAAGGTAAGTGCTGTAGTGGCCCCGATTTCTGCCTGGAGGTGCTTCGTGAACTGCAGTGTGGGGAACAAGGACCCGAGCAGCGTCTGGTGGCTCCACTGCATTGAAGAGTGGAGATGGGAGTGCAGGGACTCTGCTTGGATTTGTGGGCCAGAGAGCCTGGAGAGACGGGAACTCTGCAGAGGAGGAGCTGCGGGAATCCTCAGGGGGTGCCCGCGGTGTTTGTGGGTTACTGCGCTGTGCATGCACATGTGAGATGCCAGGAGAAGGGCCGAGGACAACTGCCAAGGAGCCGCAAGGGGGCCGGTGCCAAGGGCTCAGCAGCAGTGGACAGTTCTTGCTGACCCCGGGCAGGCTGTAGAGACCCCCAAGGGGTCCTACCTTGGTAGTGGGGTAAATAAACCCAGAGTGAGAGTAGCTTAGACCCTCCCCTCAAAAGCTTAAAAACAAGCCTTGAAAGGATCCAGCTAAACTGCAATCGATGTAAATGCTGGCCTGTACAGACTTGGAGGAAAGGAAAACTCTAGGCCAGGGTCCTTCTTGAATGTGGGTGTGAGAATTCTCACCAGATGTCATTGACTCTGATTCAGCCGCGTCTAAAAAGGGTCATACATCATGGTCAGTAGAGTTTATCCCAGCAGTGAAAGGTTGGTTCTAACTTTGAAAGTCAGTCAACGTAATTTTTCATGTCAACAGACTGAAGAAGGAAAATGTTATAATCATCTCAATAGATGCAGAAACGGCATTTAACGAAAGTCAGCGTCCATCTGTGATTAAACAGACAACTCAGCAAGCCAGGATCTAAAGAGATTTTCCCGACCCTGGTAGAGGCGTCTGCAAAGCCCCTTCAGTGGCCTCATGCATAATAGAGAGAGAGGGGATGCTTTTCCTCTGCGATCGGGAACCAGGCGAGGGTGTCCAACCTCACCACTTCTATTCACCATCATCCTGGAGGCTCTAGCAAGTGCAGAAGGCAAGAAAAAGAGAGAAATGAAAGGCAAACAGATTAGAGAGAGAGAGAAACCATCTTTATTTGCAGATGATGTGATTTTCTACGTAGAAAATCCAGTGGCATCTACACAAAAGCTAGGACTGCAGGTGAATTTAGTTGTATACTAGTAAAGAACCATTAGAAACTGAAATTAAAAACATTTCCATTTACAATAGAACCAAAAATCATGAAATACTTAGGCACAAATCCTACAAAATACACACAAGAACTGTTTGCTGAAAACTATGAAACACAGATGAAAGAAATCAAAGAATTCCTACATAAATGGAGACATGTATTGTTTCGTGGATTGGAATAGTCAAAACTGCTAAGAGGTCAGTTCTCCCCAAATTGGTGTACAGATTAAACTCAGTCCGGTTAACATCCCAGCAGGCTGTTTTGTAGAGATCGACACAGTGAGTGTGAAGCTCTGGGGAAGGCCAAGGTGCTGGAATACACACGACAACTTCGAAGGAGAAGAATGTGTCGAAGGACACACGCCGTCCGATTTCAAGACTTCCTGCGAAGCTGCAGTCACCAGGGCAGGTGGTACTGGAGAGGGATGGACACACAGATCAGGGGAATGGAAGAGCATCCAGAAATAGCCCCACACAAATGTGGTCGATTGATTTTCAACAAAGTGTGAACCAGTTTAGTGGAGACTGGATTGTTGGGGGTTGAAAGTCCTTGCGGATATCTATAGGGTGGTCGGAAGTATGGAGCGTCTGGAATGCAGGGAGGGCTTCTGGGCCCCAGAGACACAGTTTTGGGAGTTATTGCGTTAGAGGTGGAAGTGGAAGTCATGGGGAGGTGTGCACTCCCCCGGGTCGGTGGGAAGATGGAGGAGAATGCCAGGGATGGCCTTCTGAGTCTGGCATGGGAGAGTGACAGGACCTCGAGAGGGATCAAAGGCGGGGACACACAGATGTTTACTTAATGGTGAACATATGTGGGAGAGGAGCTGCCCCTAAGCACAAGTAAGACCAGCTTGGAAAAGGCATCACTGGGGTCCCACTCGTGTCCTTGGAGCCAGCCATTCCATCAGGGTGGTGTAGGAGAAGTAAGTGACCCAGAGGTGACAAGTGGAGAACAGGTAGCATGGACAGAACCATGGAAACAACATGAGTGCATGCGAGTCAGACAGCAGCTGCTGCACCTCGGTCTGGTGTCGCCTTCCAGTCTGCATGGAAGGGACCACGGGCCATGCCACACAGTTTTCCTTAGTAGTGGCCTTTAAAAAACCACCGCCATTTGGAGTACTTTCTAGGCGCCAAATGCTAATCTAAATGCTTCATAAATATTAAATCGCTTCACCCTCGCGACTCTCTGAAGTAGATACTATTGTCCCCATTTTACAGATGAGTGAACTGAGGCCACGCTCTGAGCAGAGATGCTGGGCTTTGAGCCCACGCCCGTCCACACCACATTTTGCTCTCTGGCTCAGGAGGATGAGAATAGAGAGCTACGGTAATGCCTCAGGAGGCCTGGAGGGTTTGCACATTGTGCCTGCTTCTCATGACACCCTGCGAGGCCACACACCGGTCCTGTCCCACAGCCCACGCCTAGCATGGACCCATGTGTCGTCCTTGCAAAGACTGTGCATGGGAAGTACCCTGGTCTCTGGCCTCTGGCCCTCACCCCAGGCTGCCTGCCTCCCTGCTGCTCAGAAGCAGATGCCCCCGAATCCCCGACTCACCACTGCGCTGCCGCCTCGCACCCTCCCTGCCTCTCGCACTGGACTTGAGTTCTTTCCTCCGTGGGCAGCTTTTGAAACGGTGAGGTCTAGTGAAGAAGAGAGTGGCTCGATGAGACTAAGTCTAAGTTTGAATTTGAAAGGAAAAAACAAAGGCTGGATTCTAAAATGTTGAGGCACATTTATTTGAGTCACTCACTGTTCAACTTGAAAGAAACCCACAGTTCTTTCCAAGTGATTTTGAACAGAAGTAATCTCTTTAAAATTTGTGCATGCGAGGTCTTTGAATGTATGCTAAGGGCCAGTATTTCGGGGGTTTGCTTATAAACGGACTAACTCTTCGTTTCAAAGTCACCTGGTATTTTTGGTCTTCTGTACCTTTTGTAACTTCCTCTGAATAAGAGGAAATATGGTTGCCACTTGTGTTTAATTTATTTTAAACAAATCAAAGCACTGATTTCTACTTCCTGCCTGTGCAGTACTTGGGCTGCAGGCAGCTTCAAAGGGCAGAACAGCGATGTTCCTGAGCGATTGTGCATCTGTTGTATTATGTTATAAACAGTTCAAAGCTTTGCATTGTATAGGAGCGAGTGGTACAACAGTGAGATAATCATTTTCTCTGTGAGCAGCAGCAGAGAACTCTGAGTGACCTTTTGATTTGTGCCAGTTGATTGGTTAAGTTTAGATTTTGGTAGAACATATATTTATGTAAAGACCCCGAGTTTATTTTTCCTGTTTTCTCTAGCGCTGTTTAGCTTGTTCTCTGTCATGTTTATCGCAAATGGCAGGTTGTTGCAAAGGGCAGTAGGAAGAAGACCGAGTACTTATTCATCGCTTGGTTTTCTTGCGGGTTCATCAGGCTTGGGAAACTCCGCCTAGATTAGCACCTCATTTCGGACAGCCCTCTTCTGAGAACCAGATCCTGGGGCTGCGGGCATGGGGGCTTCGGAAACCGGTGTTCCCAGGGCTGCACGGGGCAGATGTGCGTCACGCAGATGGTGAGAGCAAAGACAGTACCCACGCGGGTTCCCAAAGCAAGTTCACTTGTTTCAAAAACAGTTCCCTGAGGCTGTGCTGGGGCTGCTCAGCCTCCCCGTCCCACCTTGCCTCTGCTGCCGCCCTGTCTCCCCCAGGCCACAGCGGCCATTCGTGCATTCTGCTGCTGATTGTCGGGAAGCGGCAGGAACAGAGGCAGGTTTGTATGCACGTGGCTGCTGCACTGCCGTGTTGGACCTGAGGGAGACGCCCTTCTCTCCTGCTGGGGTGCAGCACCTGAGGGACATCTGGGAAGAGCATATGTGAGAGCCTGGGGGGCGTCACTCAGGGTCAGCTGGTGTAGGGCACACACACATCATGACCTTGGGCTGGATGTGGCCCAGAGGAGGAGCCCAGCCTCACAGGCATTGGCGGGAGGGGGGCGCGGGTCACTCGCCAACAGCCCCTGGATGTGCAGGCTCAGCGAATGCGCATGGCATTCGCCTCTCAGGAGCGCAGCTTGGAGAGACTCTTTCAAGGGGGCTGCCCACTGACCTGGCGTGAGTGGGAGAGAGACCACGGGACCTCTGAGCGCAGGCTGAAGCCCCCATGCTCTGATCGTGTCAGTGACCTGAGGGCCGCTGTGTCCTAGTCCCGGGACAGGGTGGGGGCAGGCCTGACGGGAAGTGAGTTGGGAGGTCACAGCAGGTTCTGGGCACTTGAATCTTTGCTCAGTGCCCGTGAGAGCTCCAATTCCCTGTTTTCACTTCTTTGGAAGTGCTGATAAGATGGGAACAGAATAAATCAAACGCAGTTCCATGTTTCCTGGCTTAGGAAGCAAAAATCCAAGTATGACCTTGGAAGTCCTCCCAGACCCAATTCCTTTTTAAATTTTTTCCCCAAGGTGGTTTTTCCTTCTTGTTTTTTCTTGTGGTTAAATATACATAACATAAAACTGACCGTTTTCACCGTTGCTAAGCGTTCAGTTCAGCGGCATTGAGTACGTTCACATGTCAGGCAGCCATCACCACCATCCATCTCCAGAGGTTTTCCATCTTTCCCACCAGAAACTCTGCTCTGTTACCCACTGACTCCTGTCCCCATGCTTCTTTCGGGACCGGCCTAAAGGTTGCTTCCCTTCATTACCCAGGAAGTGGAGCTTCAGCTGCGCCCCCACCTCCCAACACGCCCTCTTGGGGGGCATGCATGGGATGCGGGTGGCCCTGGGGTGGCCTGATCCCACGGTCCTCCTGATGTGGGCTAGGTAGTGATGATCAGAGCAGTGGTCCTCAGTCTGTCCGGCCTGGATGGAGCTGTCTGAGGGCACCTGATCCAGTTCAAATGAAAGGGGTCTGTTGGACATCGGTCATCTTCATGGGGTCACAGCTGACATGGATTGAGCACTGTCCTGAAGCCCGCTGCATGCAGTTCTTGTCGTTCAGTCACCTTTCATCTTGTCCTTATAGAATGAATACCGCAGGGAGCCAGTTTAATTAACCCACATGCTTGACTCATGGGGAGAGGGGCTCTCCGGAGCTGGGCTGGGCTTTCTCTTATTCTGTTTTGTCCCAATCCCTGTAACAACAGGTGAGGGCATAGATATTTCATTCCCATTTCGCAGACAAGAAAAACAGGCACGAAGAAGCTACATCGAAGGATCCCGACCAGGAGAAGCGTCAGAGCAGAGGTTCTGCCACATTTGGTGATACCTGTGCGAGCTGGGAGCCCAAGGCTGCGACATGGTCCTGGGGTCCTGCTGCACCTGCCGCGAGTGTGAACAGATGGATGGCAGGATGGGAGGCAGAGGACGCGGCTGTGGGCTGGCTGCCCAGAGGTGAGCCCTCTGCCCATGGACACTCCAGGAGTATCTCCAGGGCTTTGTCACTGCCACGTTGTCAGAGCTGGGGTGCCATCTGCCCATGCACCTGCCTCAAGGCCTGGAGCGTGTGCTGAGTGTGGCTTCGCTCCTGGGGAGACTGACTAGCTCATACCATTTCTGGGTTGATTTTCTGGGGCAGAGGTCCACTGCAGGTCTGCAGGGACATGAATCGGTTGGAGTGTGTTTCATGAGCAGCTCCAGGAGGGGGAAAGAACAATGTCGAAGCTCTCGGGGCTCGAGCAGCTCCAAGTGATGACGTCAGTGCTGGGCATGGGTCCAGGCCTGCCGCGCGTGGCCTTTGACCCTCCAGCCCCTGCTGTCTCTGTGTTTACTGCTCGGCTTCCTCTGCAGCTGATGTCATTGTGGCTTCATATTTTTCCCGAGGCTGATCTCTGGGAAGAGAAGTGGTGAGGGCCACCTGCAGGCCACCTGTGGCCCAGCCCGCCCCCCACCTGACTTGATGGCTGAGGAGCTCACAATGGTCGTTGCGTTGTTAAATGGTTGAAAAAAATGAAAAGAAGATTTCATGACCCACGCAAATGATATGAAATTCCAATGTCAGTGTGCATAACAAAGCTTTATAGGGACAGCCACGTGTATTCCTTTATGGATTGTCTGTGGCTGCGTTCGCACTACAGCTAGAGACCACATGGCCTGCAGAGCCAAAAATGGTTACTCCCTGGCTGTTCCCAGAAGAGGCACAGGGTCCTCCTTCCTGTGATGACAGAAATTCAGGTTGGTAGTAGCATTTCACATGGTCAGCTCAAACCCTTGGCTCTTAATCAGAAGGGAAGAAGCGGTGTGCTGGGAATGAGCTACGTGATTCCTAGAGAGGACAGAGGTCACCGGTGCCACTACCGTTCTGTACCGGTGGCTGCTCAGGGCCTGAGACCTCATAGGGATTCACTTTCATTTTCGTTGAGAGGACCGGGAGCCACCAGAGGCGGCAGGCCTCTGTCCAGAGCTCACGGGACGCTGTTCAAAGGGACACTGATTGGGGAGTCTTCCCTGTGCTGCCAGAGAGACTCCAAGAGACTCCACCTGCCCTGGGCCATCCATGCGCCAGCAGCCCATGCGTGTGTGACGGTCCGTCCGTGTGGCGCTGGCACCCTTGCCTTTCACGGCGCTGTCGGCCCCAGGCGCAGCAGCTCTACATTTGTTCTGGGAAACGACCCGCAAGATGGGAGGAGGCGCTGAGAAGCCACAGAAAGAGTGTGCAAGGCCCAAGGCCAGAGCCAGTGGGGGGAAGCCACCGTGGGGTCCGCCCTCAGTAGCCCATAGCAGGCGTTCCTCAGAAAGTGGGTGGGGCTCACGCAGAAAGGCCAGGGCCACGAGGCATTTCTGCCCATCTTTGCATTCAGGTAAAAATTGAGGATGAGGACACAGTGGGGTTTGCGAAGACCCTCTGCTCCCTCACTGCAGCGTTCTAAAAAATTGTGGTGAGGCCGGCCCTGTGGGCCAAGTGGTTGAGTTCTCGCGCTCTGCTTCTGCGGCCCAGGGTTTCGCGGGTTCAGATCCTGGGTGTGGACGTGGCATCGCTCATCAAGCCATGCTGAGGTGGCATCCCACATGCCACAACTAGAAGGACCTGTAACTAGAATATACAAATGTGTACTGTTTGGGGAGTTTTGGGCTTTGGGGAGAAGAAGAAAAAATAGAAGATTGGCAACAGATGTTAGCTCAGGTGCCAGTCTTTTAAAAAAAATTGTGGTAAAATATGTATAACATAAAATTTACCATCTTAAAAAAAAAAATTTACCATCTTAACCATTTTTTTCCCTTTGACAAATGTTTATTGAGTGCCTACTGTATATCAGATACGATGTTGGGCACCAGAGATGCAAAGATAACTATCATGTGATCAAGATTGCTCCGTCAACCGTAAAGGCCTTATCGAATGCTCACCCTTAAATTTTGGGGGAGAAGTCCAGGGTCTGCTAGTCTCCAGTTCTGAAAACCTAGAAACTTAATTCTTTCAAGCTTAGAATGTCTGAAATCTTAAATATAACAATAAATCATGATGCAAGCTTATTAACTTACAAGGAGCCCAGGTTGGTTGTGGAATTATCTCCTCAGCAGAAAAGTCTACTTCGAAGTCAAATTATTATCAGAAGTTGCAATGACTTCATGCATTAAAGTGCACACTCGTCCAGGATCCAGCCAGAGATCCAGTCAAATTCTCAAGCATTGCCGTCCCTCTGCCCACATACTGTTCTGTTAAAATATGCCTTCCCCTGAAATGTGTCCTAGGCTTGAATATCATGGTCCACAGGGGCCACTCGCTGGCAGTGGAGCCAGAGTCTACACTGCGCATAGACATCTGTTTGCCATCACTGTGGTTTTCTTTGGTTTTGTTTTTTGTTTATTTTTCAAGTTTGCTATTGTGGTAAAATACACATAACATAAAATTTACCATCTTAACCATTTCTAAGTGTACAGCTCAGTGGCATTGAGTACATTCACATTGTTGTGCAACCATCACCACCATCCGCCTCCAGAACTTTCCATCTTCCCAAACTGAAACTCTGTCCTCATTAAACAAGAACTCCCCATCCCCCTCCCCAACTCCTGGCAGCTGCCATCCTACTTCCTGTCTCTGAATTGACGACTCCGGGCCCCTCACATAAGTGGAATCCTACAGGATTTGTCCTTTTGTGATTGTCCTCTTTCACTTAGCATGACGTCCTCAAGGTTTATCCACTTTGTAGCATGTGTCAGGATTTCTTTCCTTTTTAAGGCTAAATAATATACCATCTCCATGTATATTTTGTTTATTATATTGCCACGTTTTGCTGCTTCATTCATCCATCAATGGAAACTTGGGTCGCCTCCACCTCTTAGTTATTGTAAATAACGTTGCTGTGAACATAGATGTACAAATATCTCTTTGAGACCCTGCTTTCAGTTATTTTTGGTATACCAAAAACAGGATTGCTGAATCATATGGTAGCTCTATTTCTAATTTTCAAGGAGCCACCATACTGTTTCCCACAGCATCTGCACCACGCCACATTCCCCCCAACAGCGCAAGGGTTCCAATTTCTCTACATCCTCACCAACACTTGTTCTTTCCTGAGGTTTTTTCACAGTAGTCATCTAATGGGTGTGGTGTGGTTTTATTTTGTTTTGTTTTTAAATAAGACATAATTTTCATCCAATGAAATGCACAGATTTTATTTTGCATTGGAGGAGTTTTGACAGATGAACACTCGCACGAAAGGTACATCCTATCAGGAGAGAGAACATTTCCAGCACTCTGGAAAGTTCCCTCTCCACCTTTCCTGTCAGTCCCTCCCACCCTGCCAACAGATTGCCATCACCATGGCAGAGTTGTGTCTGTCCTAGCACTCGCTGTAGCTGGACCCACATGGTGGGGACAGTGACAGGTTTCACTGGGCCGGAGTTGGCCTCCCTGTGCCTGGTATGGCCGCGACCACTCTCCCCTGTGGGCAGTGAGGGGCCGTGGTGTCATCAGGAGCAGGGAGAGGGTCTTCGTTTGCAACGTGCAGTTTCGCTCCACACAGGGCTGTGTTCGGGTTCCAGGCCTCTCCCGAGGCCGTGCTGTGTTGCTTTTGGAGGACACAACACAGGATGCGCTGTCCTCTGCTGGATGACAGGAGGGTGACGTCAGCCCAGGTGCTTCCGGGCAGGGCTGGGGGAAGGTTCCCGAAGAGAGGGCTGGGACACTGAGCTGATGGCACGTCAGCGGTGCTGACAATGGCTTTTCCCTGAATGTGCTCGACTTTAAAAACAGTGCCGTTTGATGAGCAGCAGGTTCCTGAAAAGCTGCGGTCCCCTAAGTCCAGCCCAGTGCCGGCGGCGGGGAGCTGGGCTGGTATTCACCATGGATTTGCTGAGTGACAGGAGATGAATCTTTTCCTCTTTCAGAGATTTGCGTTTTTGTTTACCCTTCACCAGTGATTATTTCTGCCAGGTGCTCCGCATATGGAACTGAGCAGGCCGGACAGTGTGGGAGAGAGACCTGAGCAGATGATAGCGCAAAACATGAATATTTACGCACGTGTGGCAAAGGGGCCACAATCAGATTGAGGGTGCTCAGGGAGGGTCCCTCTGAGGAAGTCACACCTGAAGGATGAGTAGGATTTCCCAGTGATGCAAGGAGAGGCAAGCTGAGTCTCAGGGGCTCAGGATGCAGCCCCTCCAAGGTGATGTGTGTGAAAGGGGCTGGGAGGCAGGCCGCTCTGCGCGGGAGAGGGGCAGCACAGGGAGGGTGTGCCGGCCCTGCACTGGCGCCTCCTGCACTGCAGGCTACCTGTGGCCTGGGAGAGAGCCTCTGGGGGCAGTGACATGGCCCAGAACCAGAGTCATCGCCTTGAGCCTCGGTGACTGGGCGCCCAGGGCCTTCAGTATCTGCGGCTGGGAGAGACTCACGTTTCTATTTCAATTCTCTTCCCTAAAATCAGCTTTTCTAACACTGATTTTGATGATTTTGCTGGGTTTTATGGCTCCTTTTCTTGAAGTCTGGCCCCTGTGAGAGGCTGGGGTCACGGTCTGTGTGGTGCTGAGACCCCAGGCGACAATGTGCCTTGCTGGGGAGCTTCGTCCCCATTCCCTGGCTGGCTGTGTGCTCGCACGGCCACACTGCCCTTTACCCTCTCACGGGCAGCATCCCTTCTGTGCCCGGGCGCCTCCCAATCGGCTCTGTGGCCGCCTTGCGTCTCCAGATGGTGGCTGCTGACCACTTCACGCGTTCCGCAGAGACGGCGTTTTAAAATGAGGATCAGTAAATTGAAGTGCGCTGAAGCCAATGAAAATGGGATGGAGTGCAGAAAACAAATTGGCTTTTCACAGCTCTACTTTAAATCTTCGGCATTCCCCCCCCCCCCATTTTTTTTCTTTTAATTGTAGTAAAATATACGCAACATGAAATTTATCATCGTAACCATTTTTCAGTGTGCAATTCAGTGGTGCTAAGTATGTTCCGTGGTTGTGCA